CTTAAGTTGTTCCACAAAGTCTTCCCAAGACATTTTGCTTGCTTCTCCCTTGGGCATAGAGTCAGCTAACAGTTTCCACCAACTCAACACGCCAGATTTTAGCAGAGGGATCGCAAGAGCGGTCTTCTGCCTGTTGCTGCATTCGCAACTTTCAAACATAGTCTCCATTTCAGAGACCCAGTCCATAACTTGTACCGGCGTCGGGCTTCCGGATAGGCATGGTGGTTTGGATGCCATGAAATCCTTATACTTGCACCCACGACCATCATTTCCTCCATACTGGTTATTGCGTCTAACCACTGGTTGTTCGTCTTGACCAATGATTCCACTAAAGTTTTCTCCTTCAGATTGCCCTCCATTATCCTCGGGCTCTTCCGCTTGAATTGACGGTTCTTCACGATTCTGCCTAAGCAGGCGTCTTGTTTCTTCCATCTGACGATCAACATCATTTGAATCATCATTTGTACACCAGCCATTGTTATCGGCTCAGGTGCAGCAGCTACGACAGGTACTTGTTCGATTATAGGCGGTTGATTCCTGTTTTCATTAGCATTTCCAACTCCGCTTCTTGTTCTCACCATTTTGATCTATACACCGAATAATTTCACCTTATTACTCCAAACGATTACATGCTAGTTCTAATATCGTATACATACGCTTAGAATCCTAAACACATAAACCTTCAGATCCGGTTGGCAACAAACCATAGATCCGAACAAATAATATCATATATGGCAACATATAACATTTACCACATAAAAGCATTTTAGGCAACTTTCCTAAAATAAACTAGTGCTTGTGTCTAAGATCCAACAGACACACACCTCGCAATCTCCACTTAGAATGCTAAGTTTAAGTTTAGAAATCCTACAAATTCCTAGTTCGCTTAAACTAATGCTCTGATACCAACTGTGACATCCCCAAAATCTCGGCCAGAAAAGACCGATTTCATTTATGCTTTTTAAAATAATTTTCAGAGTAAATCCTTTTAATTTTAAAAGAGATGCGGAATTTGTTCCCAAAAACAAAACATGATAAAATAGATATTTATCAAAACATTTCATAAAGAAATATGATTTCATTTCATAATCAAAAGTCGGGATGTCATGTTCCGATACAGGTCATAAAGCATAAACGATAACATTACAAGTCGTTCAACAAATATATACATATACAGACTTGTAAACAAAAACAACTTGATGTTCGCCCATCTTAAGCTCTTGCGCCACTTCCTGTAAAATAAATCAACTGAGTGGGTCAGGCTTGGGAGCCTGGTGAGCATATAGGGTTTTCAAACCCACAATAATTATATTTAATTTCAACAATCAACAATAAACCCGATTACCCATTCCCGTTATCCTCACCTTACGTTCCTAAAAATAACGTCTATTATAAGGAACTTATTTCAGGATTTTTCATCGGGACGGACATTACTGCAGAGGGGCTTCCTCAACAATAAGTGTCCTAAAGGCAACCATGTGGGGGATAGAGTACACCGGTGAACACGTCGTTCACAACACCTACAGGTAATGAGCCTGCTAGTGTTCCACAGGACAGTCTAGAATAGTCCGTGGTCGTCATCCATACTCTGCTGAATGACTAGAATAACACCAATAACACCGAGGCCTCTCATCTGTTTATTACACACCAATTATCTACCCATGTTCTACCCAACATATTAGTAGATAAAAATATACATTTTTATACATAGTTTAAAAACCTGTATGACATGTTTTAATCAACACATATTCCACATAACAGATGAGGCATACACACATAACACGTATTTCATAGAGAATACATCACATCTATAAGATAGAAGAGAGTGAATATACACTCACACGTATAACAACCAAATATATACACCTAACACGTATTTTATATGAAATACTTCATAATATTGCGTTGGAATGAAAGTAACTACACACTCACTTGATCAGAGGATGATCGGGTAGCACTACGGCTTGCAGAAGTAGTAATCCTCCGCAGATCTGGAAGATCTCTTACGAAAACCGAACTTCTCGCGGGCAGAGCTTCGGCTCGGAAACCGCACTTCTTGGGATCTTCGGGATCTCGGGACTCGCTTCGGGACTCGGGAATATTACCGGGGCTTCGGGATGGAATCGGCACGCAAATCGAGGCAAAAGATGAGAGAAAATGAGGAATTTGTAAAAGAAAACTCGGCTGCTTCGGACCTCATTTTATAGTTGCTGAACCTCGCAAGTACGCGGGGCGTACGCCAGTACGCGGGGCGTATTGCCTCAGAAACGTAAGCGCTTGCGTCATCCGAAGCCACTTGCTGCGATGTTGACATTTTCGGAGTACGCGGGGCGTACTCACTTACGTGGCGCGTAAGTCGGATAAGATCTGTGACTCGCCTTCGGATAATGCTTCCGAAAAATAATTATAAATTAATTAATAAACTTCGGAAATTCATATCTTCTTCATACGAACTCCGTTTTCGACGTTCTTTATATCCACGGAAAGGTGAGACTACGATTTACAACTTTCGTTTAGACTCCGTCGGCTAATTTTGAATTTATTTTTTATTGTTTATTTTTAATAGGCCGGGACAGAAAATTTCGTTATAAATTCATAACTTCTTCGTTCGACGTCCGTTCCCGCCTAACTTTTTATCGTTTTGATACTAACAACAAGATCTTCGATTCTCGTTTAGATCACTAAGGCTAAATATCGCTCTAACGTAAATTCATATTTTACGTCACTCGGCGTTGTGCCGGTTCTGTCTCGAAACTTCGACATGTCATAACTTCTTCGTTATAACTCGGATTTTGGCATTCCTTATATCTCCGGAATCCTTGTTTCGACCACTACAACTTTATGTAAAGATGTCAGACTTATCTCACACTTAAATTTTGATGCTTATTTTATTCTTAATTCATTAAATTATAAAAATCAAGAAAATAAACACATAAATCACATAATTCACATAATTCACAAATAATACATTCTTATTATTTCAAATTGAGTTACAGAGGTTAACCTAGACTATTACATTGCTAAAAATGGCAAGCCTAGAAACACGGGCGTTACAATATCTCCAAAGGAAAAGCGTAAAAAAAATGATAGATAGGACTCTCTGGACCTCTTAAGATCCAGATTTAAGAAGAACTCCACCTTGGGACCTCATATACTTCGAATCCAAGCTAAAGAAGGCATAAGAAGACCCTAGAATCAAGTAGATCACCAAATACACGAGAATGAGCATAGATTTATACCTTTAACGGCCTCTTCTGATTAAATGGTTGAAGATCTGAGCTCCTTAGCCGACCTAGCTCTTCTTTCTTGCAAAATCACACTAGAAATGATGAGAATGGCTTCATATCTCACTCACAATGCTCTCAGGTCCTCTGGTGCACTCAAGGGTGAAGGTGGCCGCAAATGAGGGCCATAAGGTCCCTTAAATAGGGCACAGGCCCGGGGATTTAGGGTTTCTGTCCACAACGCGGACTCATTGAGTTGACCTTCTGACTCGTCGAGTGCATTCATTAAATCCAGTCAGCAATCGCGATCCTGCTCGACGAGTCTAAGCGCCAACTCGTCGAGTCCCTCTTCTTGCCACAAACAAAATGATTAAATGATGATACCTGGAATTTCGGGTGTTACACGTATGCTGGGCGTACCAAGGGATACGTTATACGTACGTGGCCAGCTCCCCAAATTTGGTCAATCACATAGTATGCCCCGCGCACATAAGGAGTATGCCCCTCGTACTCACGGAGTCAACTCAGTTGACTTTGACCTGGATTTTTACAAGGGTTTGACCTAGGGGTATTTTAGGTATTACCCATACGCTGAGATTGTGTCATTGAATTTATTAAGGTGATTGGTAGAGTTGATCACGGCATGCCATTCAGTTTGCTTATCTGTCTATGAGTTGAGTTTTCTCACTATATCCATGGGTCGAAGGCACCAATGTCGACCCATTACTTGTTATGTGGAATGCTAGTTATCTCTGTGATACTTGTATGAAAGACTAGGATCCGACCCCTAACAATTGTATGAAAAGAAGGATTTGGCCCAGGCACTTGTGTGTACGACCGGGATTTGGCCGTTGGCATTGCAAGGAAAGACCATGGGGATAGCCCATGGCACTTGTATGTTTTGGTATGTGGTATTTTGAAGAATTCACTAAGCTTTGTGTGTACAGTTTATGTTTATGGTTTCAGGTACTTCCGGTTCGAAATGGAAGAGCCCAACGTGATGACACATCATCCTCCCCTCATGATTTCGGCATTCTGAATAATTGTACTGTGATGTTTTGAATATTATGACTTGATATTGATTTTGAATAATTAATGAATGATTTGATGGACTTTAAAATGAAAAGTTTTATTACTATTTTCGGGACGTTACAATTTTATTGGAAAGGAAGATGCACAATTGTAGTTGATAAATATATATAAAAAAAAATGAAAGATGATCCAAAACTTACCTTTAAGTATATATCCAACATGCATGGAAAAGTTGATGTCGCTTTTTTTTTTTTGGACGTACGAAGCTGCAAATGCCAACTAAATCATGATGAAAATAGTGTCTTTTTACAACTTTAACAAATTTAATTGTATAATGAAAAAAAAGAGTTTGAATGATGTTTTTTTAGGCCATAGGTAAAAAATTATTAACCTTTTTATTCGAAAAATAAATAAAAAAAAACTACCATCGAACCATGTTTTCCATAACACAAACGAAGAAGAAAAAATGTTGTGCAATATTTTGATTTTATTTTATTAATCAACATCTCACGTAACACAACCATTTAGGGTTTTTATTCAATTTTGATTTGTTCCATTGATGAAACTCGCTATTTAGGGTTTTGTCTCATTATCTCAATCTTTTGAAATGCCCCAATTGGATGACTATGTAAGTACTCTTGCAACATGACCTCGACTCTATGTTAATTTGTGATTGTTTCTTTGCCAAAGTTAGTGCTATGTACCATCAACCGGATATGTTGTGAATTACGTAGGTTGTTTTTTCATCAAGTTATCTTTTAGAGCTACCAGAGTTAGACAATTTTCGAGAAACTCCAGGTGTTTTCTTTTACAAGTTTTCAGATATATTACTACACGAAATGTGTGATTGGAGCAATACATTAATGGAAATTCAAATTTTTACAAACTAAAATACTTTTTTATAAAGATATAATATACTTCCTCTGATAATTTGTTACATGAAATCATCATGAGAGAACATTGAATGGTTGAGCCTCTCGAGCAACTTTAATGAAAACATCTTCAAGAGTTGTGTCTGCAAGCCCCCATGCCTGAACAACAAACCTCCTTTTAGCATTCTCAACAGCACGAAATACATCTGCTATTTTGATGGCTTCTTTTGGCAATTCAAACTTTTGTGTCCCTGATATTTCGTATATCTTTTTAGCATTTGGCGAGAGACCTTTTACAAGGTTTTCTACATCTGCCTCGTGATTTGAGGATGTTGTCATTGTGAACACGTATGAACCTCCATATCTACCTTTCAACTGTTTTCATGCAAATTTAAGATAGTAAGATTCACTAATTAAAAAACACTTGTATTTTCACCATTTTTATTTTATCAGTAATGATTAACCATTATACTTTCTTTTACCGTTTTAACCCGAATTTGATATTAATGGGCAAAATACCTCTTTAGGGTTTCCAACACACTGCAAGCTTCCATCTACAAAAATCCCTAACCGATCACAGAGATGCTCTGCTTCCTCCATAGAATGTGCTAATCATTTTCATCACCCATATAAATTACATTTGAATGAGAACAGGTTGTAAATTGTTTGGCATATGCAATGACCGGACTGGGACAAAATTTGCAATTTTTTGTCACATTCGTTCTCAATCTGTTACGTGGAAAAGATGTGAATGCCCTTTGGAAAGTGTATTAGAGTCAGAGAATTACTGGTGAGAATAATCGCACGGTTTTGTTTAGCTCGCTTGACAACATTCCATAAATTGTTTCTTGAAGCTGGGTCAAGCCCAGTACTGGGCTCATCCATGTATACTACCTTTGGATCTCCGATTAATGAAATGGCAACACTCAGTCTCCTCTTCATTCCTCCACTGTACTTCCCGGATTGCTTGTCTGCAACCCCACCATTGAATAGATTTACACTTCTTAGAGATTCTTCAACTGCCTAAAACAATGAAATTTACATGTAAATGAGTTCCAAAATCTCAACATTTAGAAATAAAGAACTTCATTAAATGCAAGTTTATTAGCAAGAAAATCGTCTAGAAGGCCCACATGACACGACATTGGAACAATGTCCGACAAAAAATAGCTCTCGATCTCTTGTCTATGTAAAAGGTGTGATGCCCTTCTCATCAACATCATTGAAAATATTTCTAGAAACTGTTTGGTCTTGTCCCATGTAACAAATGTAGCCAAAGTGAATTCCAACTTACTTGTGTCAAGGCGGTGCCTTTAAGGTTCTTAAGTCTTCCATAAAAAAGAAGATGCTCCCTACCTGTTAGCGTTTCCCAGAGCAGGCTATATAACAAAACTTAGTATTAAGAAAGCATATAAATTTTTATAACCAACATAATTAGTAAAACTGGGCGTCGTTTTTTTTTTCATGGAGAAATGACATTGAAAAAACAACAGATTTGGGAAAATGGAAGGAAATAATATATGATGGAAATTTGTAAAAAGTTGGGAATTAATGGGAAGCATCATATTCGTGACTTTCTCTATTAAGTTATTCTTTTTGTAAGTCTAAAAAGATTAATGGACTAAGTATTGTATCCATCATGACTAAAGGAAACAACACCTTAATAATTTCTAGAGGGATTTTAGTACTTACTCATGTTGAGGACAGACACCCATGTTGGCATAAATCCCATCCATGTCTGTTCTTATATCCAGGCCATGTACATATGCTGTGCCAGAGCTTGGCTTAACTAGCCCAATCATCTGTGAACAACAAATCGCTCTTCTTAGTTGGGTTAAATGCGAAAATAGCAACATATTATTTTTTATTTGTTAGTTACAGCATCCTACTTTATTCTTATATTAACACATTTTATTTTGAAAATTCAACCCAATAACAACGATGTCATTCAAATACAAAGCAACTTTCACTACTCTAATTGGGTAGATTTTTCGGAGTACAATGCCCTGATAAGAAAAAGAAAAAATGAAATACAATGACCCTTCCTCGATAACAGAAAATGCACCCAACTGTTTGGTATTCAAACAAACAAGAGCAAATTATGAATTAAGAATGAAAGATGCTTTTGCACTAACCATATTAATGAATGAGGTTTTGCCAGCACCATTTGGACCAAGCATACCAAAGCACTCCCCTTGAGATAATGCAAGTGTCAACCCTCTAACTGCAATCTTCTTGGGGTTTCCATCACTTCCCGGATACACCTTTTTGAGTTTATCACAGACAATTGCATGGTTCGTGTCTTGTTCAACTAGTATCTGCTCGACCTTCTCTCTCTGATAGAGCATGGAAGGGGACATAATTGGTATTTATCAAAGCTTAGATAAAATGAATGTTGAACAATCTATTCTCATAATTATACATTAGGCCTAAAACAGGTTTCTGTGACCGAATTTGACACAATAATTTAGAAGACTAAATAAAAGTTATCAACTGTAAGAATTAGAGCAAAGGTATGTTGAACAATATATACCCATAATTTTACAGTGTAGAAATTGTACACTGGTGTAATAAAGCATACCATATACTTTGCACACATTTTCTACAAAAAAAAGTTATTCTTCCGGCAAGTCTCGCTTCTCGAGCATCATGTGATATGTAAATCATGTACACAATGGCCTAGGTGAATGATATAAGACCTTAGCCAGTGCCAAAAGTATCACAATCCACATTGGAACATAAACTCTCACACCTAGGCTACAAAGACTGGGACCTTCAACTTTTCTGCAAAGAAACCACCCTGAAAGCAAATGTGCTATGCTTGGTGTCTATGGGCACTATTTCCAGATAACAATAAAACACAATTGCAACTAATAGTAGATACTTTATACACCATCTTTCTTTAAGAAAGGTTAATGGAAACTTATTATATGACTAATGCACCTATGCTACCAAAAAGTCCAAAGAATCAAGATAAACCAATATCTTTTTTATTTTTACTTACCATTTTTAAACTAATTATAACTAAGTAAAGATGCAATACTTGCCTCTTGGACAACATCAGGTTTCTCCAACTCTAGGTATAGTTTTGAACCCTTCCTTTGTAAACTAGGCTTCCTGAATGACGATGCGGGCTTCCTGAATGAAGAAGATGGCTTATTTTTGAACTTTTCCAAGAAAAAAAGTGGACCTCTCTGGGCACCACTTCCCGATGTTAAAACGTGGTCAATATAGTACGCGATAAAGAAAACCACCACCCATTCCACAAGCATCATTATTAGCACTCGACCCATCCCATTATGCTCGTTAGTTAAATCTCCCCAACGTATTCCATGAGTCCCCATATAGTTTCCCGTAAAAGCATATTGTGAAAAATCATATAATCCACGGTAAAGAGAAAACCCCGGGTATAACTCCATCACAACAATCCAATGTTCTAAAAAAGTAGATGTATATTTAGACAAATAGCATGTGATCAGAAATATATATATATATACACACACACACACACACACACACACACACACACGCAAGTTCTTTTGACTTGAGAAGTCCTAATCCGTTCATCATTTTTCACAACCAAAACCACCAACGGAATCTTGGACAAGCGATTAAGGCAAATCCATGGTGAGGTGATTATGAGTTCGCAAGTTCATATAAGTATTGATTGTGCATACATGCACATTTCTAAAATGAATAAAAAAATTGACAAATTTTTTTTAGCCTAAATATGATTTAGACGCACCATTCAAAGAAGATTGATGTTTTTATTTTTGAAAACTGATGAACGAATTAGGAGTTCTCACACTTTTTTTTTTATATATGACTGAGTTATTGTGAGAACTAGAAAAAGCGTTTGAACTTGTGAACTCATAATCAACTCATCGTTTTTCAACACAAAAAACACCAATCTTGTCCAAATGGTGCGTCTAAGCCATATCTAGGCTAAAAAAAATTGACAATTTTTTTTCTTTTTTATTTTTGAAATTTGCATGTATGCACAATCAACAGTTATACGAACTATTGATGAGCACAATCAACAATCATATGGACTACGTATGTGCACATTTAGCAACAATATGGATTGTTGATGAGCAATCAACAGTCCATATCACTGCTGATTTTGCTCATCAACAGTATGTACAACTGTTGATTGTGTTCAACAATACATATATATAGGGTCCGGTTCCGGTTATGACTCTTTTTAAAATGACGACTCACCTTAAAAAAATTGAAAAAAAAATCTAAAATAAATATAAATTAAAAAATCAAACATAGTACTATGTAGGAGAGGGAAAAAAATTGAAAAAGTGTCATTTTTGTGATCAATGATTACACTTTTATGATTCATGATTTAATTTTAATGATGAAAAAAATTTGGAAAAAAACAAAAATTGGATTATTAAAACTGAAGCATGGATCATTTTTATGATCAATGATTCAACTTTTATGATTCATGATTCAATTTTAATGATGCAAAAAAAATTTCCAATTTTTTTTTTCCGGATATAATACTATGCTAGATTTTATAATTTGTATTTTTTTAGATTATTTTTCAATTTTTTTAAGGTGTCTATCACTTTAAAAAGAGTTTTCACCACAATTGCAACTGTCAAATTTCAACGCCACTATATATGAATTCAAAAACATTTGTGCACTATATGCCCCTAGGTCGTACTGGTTCCGGCTGGTATCTTGTAGAAAACATGCAAGGGTTCGTGCCTTAATTAGTAGCGTGCACTTTAAGAGTCTCAATAATTCAATTGTGATTGGGCACCTTGTGGGCACTAGGCTTTTATGCCAGCCACCTAGCGGGTCGTTGGATACCTGACATACATCTCAAATGACAAATAACTCTTTTTTGTCTGGGGCCTGGTGAAGTCTGCTTAGGGTTTCCGAAAGATTAAGTTTATTTTGCTATCAAACATCTGTGCAAAATGATCTGATCATCAAGACTACATTATTTGTATCTTCACTTACTTGGAAATGATGTGGCTTCAAGGAAGAACTGGAAGAATCCTGCTCCCACGAGACCGGTTGCAAAAACAATAATGTACCCGACAACTGTCATTATCATGTCGATACAAGTCATAAACCAGATGTATCTCTATCATTCTTAGAAGAAACATTAAGAGCCCATTTCTTATGTAGGACATGTTGTTTGTCATAAATTAATTGCAACTTTTTGTTGCACCCAAAAAGATGAAACAAGGTGGGATAGGGACTCTCTATCTTAAAGATCTCTCGTACAACTTTTTGATGCTTGTCAAGTCGTGTAACAAACACAGCTTAAGCAACTCCAACAGTCATGGAAAATATGATAACAAACCTGCAGCAGTCTTCACATTAGAGAAGAGAGCAGCTGCTAGAAACGCCAGAGAAATTTGTAAGTTGATGTAGATGAAAAAGAACACAAACTGGATGCTGTAGTCATTCAATGTGAAGAACTTTAACCCTGTAATGAATTGAAGGGCATTAGCTAAGTAAATTAAAATAATCAAAATAAAAAGTTTAATTCAGTGTTGGCTGATTTGTACCTACAACTGAGCCAAAGACCACGAAACAGAACATGTAAACCAAAGATATGGCAAGGAAGTATGCGTAAGAAATCATCCAATAAGGACCATCCCCAAGTCCATGCATTTTCATCATGATTCTTAAGTTTTGTTGTTTCTCATAAACCAGAGCTGTTAGTACAATCTGCAACAAGTATATTAATTTATTCATGTTGAATTGTGCCAGGTATGCAGTGGAATGGGACTTGGACTCACGTCAATTGGACAAAAAGTGAAATTTTTTAGTCCAATTAAAAATGGTGGAATAAGGTGAGATTTAGTCAAATATCAGGCAGATGAAAACAAATAGCAAAGAAATTTCTCAAGTCATGGGATATATGAGTTATTATGATCAGTGAGTTTTTGGAAAAGAATGAACAGAAACAATATGCAAATTTAAAATTTTACTTACAGGGAATAGTTGCAAGATGACCCATGTAAAGAATAATGGTCCAAGGAGAGAAGAGAAGTCCAGCCTGCGTAGTGTTTCAGGTTTCGGCATCTCTTTTACGAAATCAAACAACATTTGTGTAGAAGGTCCAAGCAGAAGTTGTAGGAAAGCATTTGAAACCTATATGCATAAATTGGAAATGTTTAGAGGCATTATATATGAAACTATGGGAACAGCAAAGAACATGATAAAACACTAATCAGAACCATAACGTGACCAAAAAATTAAAAGTTCTGTGTAGAATAAGAATTATATATATATATATATATATATATATATATATATATATATATATATATATATATATGAATGCTGCAAAATTTAGAATGTATACCCAATTTATTGAGCGAGGAACCCGGACAAGTCCTATGGGAATATTTCCTGAATCATTCTTATAGGTAGAGTTGTACCATACTATCACATCATAACTACTGACATTGGAATTCAAGAAATCATAGCCTGTGGAAATGTTTGAATAAAAAAATAAAATCAAAGCTTAAATCATTTACTTAGTAAGCAATAAACTATGTGTGGATCGACCGACCTGCTAATATCTCATTTATTTTCTTCTCTGAGTTTCCCCTCTTGTATCCCGCATACAGCTCATTGTTAATATCAAAAGACCTGTTGCGCCATAAATGTTGACCTTGGACACATCTAATTTCTACATTAAAAATACAAGATCAGTTACAAAATAAGCTCTTAACTACAAACCACTTTCGTCTCTTGTTGATAATCTAAGCTACTAGCTAGAAATACAAGTATCGTTAGGGTTCAACACACACACACACACAGAAAAATAAGATGCGAACAAAAGAAAGAACTAACACCAATTAACGCCATCGAAATAATTCATACCTTTCTCCACTTTCGTAGACCCCACTGGGACTGAAATAGAAAAAGTGGAGTTGGCTTGGCACTGAGATTGCACATAGTAGACTGGAAGACTCGAGAAGAAAGCAGGCTCAAGAATGTTGGATACCGGAGTCTCCGAAGCTGACCCCTGATATGTTCCAAACAAATCATAAATTCTGAATATAATATTCATTACATACATATGAATGATTCTGCTTGCAAAATGTGATGATAGGTAGTAACTAACCAATACAACATCAGCCAGACCGTTGGATGAGTTAAAATTGGATGAACCTGGGAACATATTTCTAGCCAAATCTGTCAAATTAATATACATTAAGCAGAAATTTATATTGATAAGGATCGATGTATATACAGAACATTGACATGAATAAGGGTATGCAAGAGATAGAGTCAACATACTCTCTCCAAGGGATTGGTTATTTCCAGTCATAAGTACAGTTGTAGGGCAGCTGGAAGGTGTACTTGTGCAGGAGTCATCAGGAAAATCTCCAAATGAAAGCAAATGATCAGTTCTCACTGCTCGATACTGTGGAGCTGGTACTTGTAATAATGGAGGCCATTCAGGTGGACTAGGAATGGAACACGTAGCCACTTGGTCCAAATCTGAGTATTCAATCCCACACACTCTCTCGCATTCACCATCCCCATCTTTATCAATACAAGTGCAACCACATTTTAAAGAGGGTTTATCTAGTTCGATGTTCACTAAATATTGTAGTGCTACAAGTAACAAACAGAGGAAGACTGGGAATAATATGAGCCTCACATTTGTCTTGAAATTCCTTCTCTGGTTCGAAGAAAAATGGAATAACAAGACTTTAAAACTAGCATTCGTATCGACATCAGATCAAAATGAATGAACATTAAAAAAAAAAAATGCAAACCTGAAAGGTCAAATTTTTTCTGAACAAAGCGTTAGCCTGAGTCCAGAAACTTGAAGAACCATCTGTTGAATCCGCCATTGATGCACCTCTCTCTCTCTCTCACTAACACATAGAACGCACACCGTTAATAAGATTCAAAACAGGCGCCAAAAGAAGAATTTTGGAGAGAATAGATTTTGCTTTGGACTGTTATATGGATGCCTTTCATATGCATCATACCTATATTAGCTACAAATCTTACCGACTCCAAGTAAATTGACGGTATTGTCCTTGTGCATTGTGCTGATGTTGTGCTTAACTGGCAACTATATCTTTTATCATTTCAACCCCTGTAGTACCCGAATTTACATTACAGTCCAAAGCTCTGCTTTGACTTTACAATGGAACGTTTTTGATCCTCTTAGTACAAAAACATCTTTATTTTAGAAGTGTGAATTTCCATCATGTTTCCTTATTCTTGATGAGACAAAAAAATATCGTAATTATTTTTGTCAAATTAAATGAGTTTAAATCCCATTTAGTACCATTATATGAGTTGACTAATCATCTCAAATACAAAATAATCTAGTAAAAATTATCAAGTTGCAAGTATATATATAATATATATATATATATATATATATATATATATATATAATATATATATAATATATATATTATATATATAATATATATATATATATATATATATATATATATATATATATATATATATATATATATATAGAGGTTTATGTTATTTTGTTTTTAGTAACTATTGTATGTCAGAATGCATAGATCTGGACCAACAGATGGAATTAATCAATTGACATGATTTGGAGATGTATGATATTACAATGGGATAACATGTACCATATAATCACATAAATTTATAAAAGGAAATTTTCGGATTTATAGAGACAATTAATTCTACTAATTTTAAAAATCTGAATGTTTTTTTAATTAATTCAATTTTAATTTGAACTTAATTTGTTAACATAACCGATTTTATTCTATCAGAATATTATTATTGCAATTCTTTTATAATGACATTATGTTAGAATAGTAGTTTATGATATTATTTAAGAATACATTAATAAAAAGAAAACATGAATAAGTACTTTATGAAACAATATACAAAAACGATTCTTAAACTAATAATATATCAAATAATTACATCTTTGATTCTGATACAAAAAGAATATTCGTGAATAATATCAACATTCTGAAAGAATAACAAGTGTAATTTTTTAAAAAACAACAATATTCTTAAACTTTGAGTGTGATCAATCTTTGATCCATTCTTCACGTCATTCCTATAATGTCTTCATGTCATTCCTTTAACAAATGCATCAAAAACATCAAAATCTAATAAAAAAACACTAAGTCATTCTGAAAGAATAATATTGCCAAGATTCGTTTTATACATTCTGGCGTAATACATTCTACTATAAGACACTCTTGTTCTCCATATTTTCTTTCTTCTCCACATGAATGACAAAGTCTTCAAAACCTAAAAAGAAAAAAAAAATCATCAAAATTTAACAAAAACACTAATCCACCAAATGAACTGACAAAATATATGACATTTTAATTGGCAAAAAAGATTCTATAAGAATCATTAAATTAGCAAGTTGTCATTCTAACATAATAACTAGGCAGAATACATAAAATATAGTAAACTTTGGTAGAGTACATACAACATAGTAAATTAGCAAGTAAAATAAATTTATTTCATGACCATTCTTTTAGTTAGGCATGTCGAAAATTATGATACCTTAATAAAAAAAAAAAAAAAACTTTAGTAATTCTGTTGTAATGCATGCCACATGGTCAAACTCTCTTTCAGGCATTTCCACAAACATTTGTCGTGCACTTCTTCTCACACCTAAAACCAAGTAAACCAATCTTAATCAGCAATATTAAATTGAGCAAATATGTTACAATACAAGTATACAACAATTACAACACTAGAACAAACAATCAATCAATCAATTGAATAATTATTAATAAAGAATACATACTTTTCTGGATAATCTTGATCTCTTATATTTAACACTTGAGTAAACAATTCATGGGTCAATTGTTCAAACTGTCAATTGATGATAGTTGCTTCATTTATAAAACAGTTAGAAGATATCAAAACAAGTAAAATCGTTTTGGTAGAATGAATTCATAAAATTAATTCTAAACATAAGAAGAAATTTCAAAGAAGATAAGGAAGAATCAATAAAGAAGGTAAGGAAGAAAATTATTGCCTCCCTCCTCCAAAACTCGATCTCAGGATCTTGCGTGCGTCTTTAAGAAAAAAAACCCACACTTTTTCCTGATTTGCATTAAAGTCGATAACTTACAAGAATCTAGAAATCAACTGCTATAATGTTCTACAAATCAGACGGCATGTGCTCTGGAGGAGAGGACCGGTCGGCATCGGCTGTGGCGGAGGCGGACTCGCCGACACTGGAATTGAAGAAGACAATGTCGCCGAGAATCGTAGAAGACAATGCGGTGATGGTGATGGTATTGATGCCGATGATGAATGTGTTCTACCACACACAACTAGGTCAAATATATTTACTTTATTTCCTTAATTGCAGGATTTCAATTAAATGATTTCCTTAATTAAAAGTACAAAATGTCCAAAATACCCTTAAATGATTTATTTAATTATTTGTTATTTCTTGAATTCTCATTGGTGCATTTAGGCACACAATAGTTGCTAAAAGCATTTGAACCAATCTCTTTCTCTCTCTCTCTCTCTCTCTCTATATATATATATATATATATATATATATATATATATATATATATAGAGAGAGAGAGAGAGAGAGAGATAGAAAGAGAGAGAGAGAGAGAGAGAGAGAGAGAGAGAGAGATAAAGAGAAAGAGAAAGAGAAAGAGAGGGGATGGGTAAGTTCATTAAGAATAAGAGTTTCAGCCAATCATTTATTTTTGTCACAAAAGGATTCGTCGTTTCAGCAAGATGGAGGATGGGTAATATTTATATATGAATATATAAATGTAAGTAGATTCATTTATGAATCCATCACTTCCCTGTCGTCACAAAAATCACCACCAAAACAACCACCGCCACTTTCGCCACCACCACCACCACCAACCACCGCCACCTTAACCACCAGCCACCATCACCATATTTATATTTGAATAATCAGTTGTTCATATCATTATTCACATATTAATAGACACACACACACACACACACACACATATATATATATATATATATATATATATATGTGTGTGTGTGTGTGTGTGTATATATATGTGTGTGTGTGTGTGTAACATCTTGATATTTAGGTATTCTACTTTTAACCCTTAGTATGAGAATTAATTGCATTTTGACCCTTGGATGTGAATTAATTGCAAAATTGGCCCATAATGGTATATTCGTAATTATTGGGCAAAGCTCGCGAACGTTGGGCATTCCCCGAGGAACGATGGGCGTTTGTGCTAGAATCCCAAACCCTAATTAATATTTAGGATTTTGTACCTTATTTAAACTTACTTAAGTCCCAAGCCTTTCTTCTTTCATCAACCTCCAGCCCCAACTTCGACACTTACAAACCCTAATCCATTTCAGAACATTCCTGAGCCTTTTAGTGTGTTTTGGTGATCTTGAAAGAGGGGGGAGAAGAGAATATCATCTTGGAGGATTGGAACAATTTAGATCCAAAATAACAACATCATTTAGCACCATTTGAAGGTAAAAAGCTATGAACTTGATGAAGCATTGATTAGATATTGTTTAAGACATGAAATGGTGTTCTTTTGGTCCCATAAGCTTGGTATTATGAGTATGGATTATGCTTATCCATATAAGTTGTCCTTTTATACGTTTTAGAGCATTTAGAAGCATAAAAATATAGTCTTGGTCATTAGTTTCCTTCCATGCATGATATAGGTTGCTTTAATAAGTTAAGTAGTTAGATTTTTTGTGTTTGGGCACTTATTAGCCATGAAAGGCCATAAAGTTGGAAACTTTATGGTTAATGACATTATTTGAGGGCTAGATCTGGAACTTTGACAAAACAGCTTAAGGATTAAGCTCTTATTAAAAAGGAAAAAGGACCCAATCTCGAATGTTGGGCGTTCGTGGCCAACCATCTCAATTCTGGTCAAACTCGTGTACACCAAGCATGCAAGCTGAGTAGGTTGGGTGTACTCAACTTTAGTGACCAAGTTTGGCTTTTTGACCATGACCTATTTTGACAAAGTTTGACCTAAGGGTATTTTAGGTATTTTGAGTAGTAATTGAGATTGATCATTATTTGATGAATAGGTTACGGTTAGAGTTGATATTCAAAGCAGTGTCAGCGACCTTTTCAGACTGAGGGGTGAGTTTTCCTCACTATACTTGTGTGTCAAAGGCACCAATGACAGACCACTAGGTTATGTATCTTGGTATATAAGATGTTGTTACGTTGTAGTGACTTGTTAAATATGTATCCTGGTATATATGATATTTTTATGCAGTAGTGATATGTAGATCTACATGTTGTTTATCTAACTGGTTATATCATTATTTGTTTGTTGGATACATGTTATATGTTATTTATATGTCGATAATGTATGGTTAGGTTGAAGCAATCCTACTATGTGCGGTAGCCAACAAACCTAGAAGCATTCCAGACATAAGTTGTGGGCCAATGAGGCAAGCCAAACTTATGATGTGGGCTCAAGAGCAAGCCATACATAAGCTGTGGGCCAGTAGGGCAAGCCAGATTTATGATGTGGGCTTGGGAGGAAGCCATACATGAGTTGTGATTCGGAAGGCAAGTCAGACTCATGATGTGGGCTCAGGGGTAATCCAGTCTATTAGCTGTGGACCAAATATGCATGTTATTATATGTTTATGTGGTACTTTAGATGATCGTGGCAAGGCGAAGGCGTTATTGTGCACATCTTTTAGATTTTATATTCTTGGATTCTGTGATACTTTGATTTATGAAGTATACTTTTGAAATAATTTTTTTTGTAAACAATTATTGTCTTGGTGTTATTTTGGAAAAAAAAAATTCCTCTAATTTTTGGGATGTTACTATATTATATATATAATATATATATATATTATATATATATATATATATATATATATATATATATATATATATATATATATATATATATATATATATATGATCTGTTCCGTTAGGCAGGTACGCTAAAGCGCTGAAGCAGCATATTTG